GTGGCACTTACCCACATTCCAGCGGGGGGGGGGGTGGAGGGAGGAAGTGAGGACAGAGAGATATGATGAAAAGAATGAAGTGAAAGGGAGGGGAAAGAAAGGGAATAGGAGAGGAGAGGAGGATATGGGATGAGAAGAGAGGGAAAGGAAAGTACAAAGATAAAGAGGGGATTAGGAAGAGAGAAGATACGAGGCAACATATCCCTAATAGAATGAAGGAAGGAGAGAAAAAAAGAAGGAAAGAAAGAAAGAAAGAAGGAAGGAAGGAAAGAAGAAAAGAAGGGAATAAGGAGAGAAAAAGGAAATAAGAAAGAGAAAAAAGAAAGGAAGAAGAAAAAGAAAGAAAGGGAGAGAGAGAAAAAGAAAAGAAGGAAGAAAGAAAAAAGGGAAATAGAGAAAGAGAAAAAAAAGAAAGAGAGAAGAAGAAAGCAAAAGGAAGAGAGAAAGAAAGAAAGAAAGGAAAAGAGAGAAAGAGAGAAGGAAATAAAAACATAGGTAAAGAAAGAAGGAAAGACATAAAGGAAAGAAAAAAATATAACGAAAGAGAGAAGAAAAGAAAGATTAAAAAACCGAACTCCTGAAGGCCAGTGCCAGTGTTACCTCGTCCACCGTGACAGCTGCCGAAATCAACCCCAATAATGACACCAAATTGGCCAAGTTACGATAAAATTACGTGACGATAATGCTGATTTGATTTCTCCGGGAGTCTTATAACCGAGAGAAAAAAAAAGAGGAAGAAAATTTAATAACGCAACGGGAACTGGGAGAGAGAGAGAGAGAGAAGGCCTTTTGGAGCGGGAGAAGAAGGAGGAAGGAGGGAGGAGGAGGAGGCAGAGAGAGCAAGGAAGGAGAAGATAGATAGATAGATAATAATAGATAGTTTAAATAGATAGATAAATATATAGACAGATGAATAGATAGTTAGATAGATAGATAGATATACAGACATAGAAATAGATAAATATATAGACAGATGAATAGATAGTTAAATAGATAGATGAATATATAGACAGATGAATAGATAGTTATATAGATAGATAGATATACAGACAGATAAATGATAGTTAAATAATAGATAAATATATAGATAGATGAATAGTTTAGATAGATAGATATATAGTTAGACAGATAGATAGATAGATAGACAGATAACAAGATAGATAATGATAGTTGATAGATAGGTATACAGACAGATGAAAAGATAGTTAAATAGATAGATAAATATATAGACAGATGAATAGATAGTTAAATAGATAGATAGATATACAGACAGATGAACAGTTTAAATAGATAGAATAATATACAGACAGATAAATAGATAGATAGATATAAGAAAGAGATTGAGAGAGAAGAGAGAGAGAGAGCGAGAGAAATAAATTACTTATCCTTTATTCAATAAAACAGTATCAATTCCACTTTGAAAAGAGATATTATCATTATCATTAACGCTTCTTATTCACCGATTTCCAACGATAATGACAATAAGAGCCATAAGCATAATGTTTCGCAAAATAGGACAAATCTATAATAAAGAAGGGAACTAAATGATTCACGAACAACTAAATAACAAACAGAAATAAAAACCTGAATAGCCAAAATCATAAACATTCGAATTTCCAGTTTATATAAAAGAAGAAGAAAAAGAGGAAAAGGAGAGGAAGAGAAGAAGAAAGTGGAAAGAGGAGGTGAAGTAAAAGAAGAAGAAGAAGAAATTGAAAGAGAAAAACAACAAGAAGAAGAAATTGAAAGAGAAGAACAGAAGAAGAAGAACAAGGATAGAAGGCGAAGGAAAGAGGAGAAGAAGAGAAAGTAGAGGAGGTGAAGAAGAAGAAGAAAAAGAAGAAGCAGTAGAAGTACAAGAAGTGGAAGTAAAAGTAGTAGTAGGAGGAGGAGGAGGAAGAGAAGGAATAGAAGATCCCACCACGCCCGTCAAACCAAAAATGCGACATGACATCTATTTATATTCCCCCACCTCCCCCACCCCTCCCCCTCCCCTGCCCGATCACACCCACCCCACCCTCACACCACCCCTCACCCCCCTACCTCCCCCCCCCCACCCCCTACCCCCCCCTCCTCCTCCACCCCTCACTGCCTACCCTCTCACCCTGCCTACCCTCCTCTACCCCCCTCACCCTCACCTACCCTACTCCCCATCACCTCCCTCCCATCCACCCCCTCACCCCCTCCCACCCCAACCCCACCCACCATCACACGCATCCGGACGGGCGTAATTCGGTAAAAATGGCGGCGGCGTGGGGGGGGGGGTTCCGCGGGCGGGCTAAAAGAGGTTAATGGAGAAAATGCTCGCTTCTTGTTCTCGGAGGCGCCGTGGAAGGAGCCGCGCTGTCTTCCTTCCGACGGCGCTCCTCCTGCCTCCTCCTCTTCTCCTCTTCTTCTTCTTCTTCTTCTTTCTCTTCTTCTTCTTCTTCTCTTCTTCTTCTTCTTCTTTTCTTCTTCTTCGTCTTCTTCTTTTTTCTTTTTCCTTTTTCTTTTTTCTTTTTCTTTTTCTTTTTTTTTCTTTTTCTTTTTTCTTTTTCTTTTTTTCTTTTTCTTTTTCTTCTTCTTCTTCTTTTCTTCTCTTCTTCTTCTTTCTTCTTCTTCTCTTTTCTTTTCTTTTTCCTTTTTCTTTTGTCTTTTCTTTTTTTCTTCTTCTTCTTCCCTTCTCTTTTCTTTTCTTTTTCTTTTTCTTTTTTTTTTTCTTTTTTCCCTTTTTTCTATCTTCCTTTCTTTTCTTCTTCCCTTCTCCTCCTTTTCCCCCTTTCTTCTTTTTCCTTTTTCTTCTTTTTTTTTCGCCTTTTTTTCCCCCTTTTTTTTTTTTTTTTTTTCTTTTTTTTTTTTTTTTTTTTTTTATTTTTTTTATTTTTTTTTTTTTTTTTTTTTTTTTTTTTTTGTTTTTTTTTCCCTTTTTTTTTTTTATTTTCTTTTTTTTCTTTTTTTTTTTCTTTTTTTTTTGTTCTTTTCTTCTTTTTCTTTTTTTTTTTTTCATTTTTTTTTTATTTTCTTTTTTCTTCTTTTTCTTTTCTTTTTTCTTCTTCTTCTTCTTCTCTTTTCTTTCTCTCTTTTTTTCTTTTTTGTCTTTTTTTTTATTTTTCTTTTTTTTTTTTATTCTTTTCACTTTTTCCTTCTTTCTTTTCTTCCTTTCTTTTTTCCTTCTTTTTTTTTTTCTTTTCTTTTTCTTTTTCTTTTTTTCTTTTCCTTTTTTCTTTTTTCTTTTTCCTTATTTCTTTTTTTTCTCTTTTATTCTTTTCTTTCTTTTCTTCTTCTTTTATTTTTTTTTTTTCTTTTTTCTTTTCT